TCAAATGACTGCATGCTGTAGATGCTCCCGTTTTCTGAATTAATGTAAACATAAGATGAGACAGAAGCATCTTGTACTTTAGAATCCAGTATGGAATATGTGATTTTGGCATTTTCTCCGGAATCTAGATCAGACGCTGATACTGAATAGAGAATAGATCCTGCAACCCCATTCTCTTTTAAATATACATTATAGGAGAGCTGATTAAAAAATGGAGGGTTGTCGTTCACATCAATTATGCTGATACAAATAGTTTTCTTGCTTGATAGAGATGGGGAGCCCGAATCAGTTGCTGTTATCTCGACATTATATTCTGAATTTGTTTCTCGGTCTAAAGCGCCATTAGTAATCAATGCATAATTGTTTGAAAAGGAAGGTTTTAAAGTGAAGGGAGACTCATTGGTTAATTGTAACATGACCTTGCCATTATTACCTGAATCGAGATCACGCGCGCTTATCAAAGCAACCACAGCACCTTTAGGTGCGTCTTCGCGTACTGGACTGGGTTTTGAAGTAAGGATTATTTCCGGTACGTTGTCATTGACGTCTATTACAATTATTTGTACACGACAATGACCCTCCATTTCAGGAACTCCTCTGTCCTTCGCAGTGACACTTATTTCAATTTTGTTACTGCTCTCATAATCTAACGGGTTTAGTAAGATAATTTCACCTGTATCCGAGTTCATCCTAAGAATGGATAGCAGGGCTTGAGGCGTGCTATCGGCAAATCTGTATTCGAGCTCCGCATTAACACCCTCGTCTGCATCTGTGGCTTCAACTCGGACAAGTACAGAACCAGAGGCACTGTTTTCAGGCACGGAAATATTATACAACGTCCTTTTAAACACTGGGACATTGTCGTTGTTGTCCAATACAGTCACAATAATACTCGAGGTTCCAGTTTTCACCGGGCTGCCTCCATCTAAGGCTGTTAATAATAACTGATGTACGCTCTGTTTTTCTCTGTCTAGTGGTTTCTCCAGCACAAGCTCGGGAACATATCGGTCACCAGACAGCTCCTTCATTTTTAATGTAAAACATTCGCTTTTACTTAGTGTATATGACTTCACTGAATTACTACCAACGTCCAGATCCTGCGCGGTGTCCAAAGGAAAGCGAATCCCCACAGCGGTAGATTCAGCTATCTTTAAATGTCGTTCTTCTTTTAAAAAAAGCGGAGCGTTGTCATTTATATCCTTTACTTCCACTTCTATTCGGTGTAACTGCAGGGGATTCTCTGTCACAATTTGCAGTGATAAAATGCAACTGGCGCTTTGTCCGCATAAAGTCTCCCTGTCTATTCTGTCATTTACCACCAGATCACCTTTCCCCACATCCACGCTGAAGAACTGCTTACCAGCCTCAGAGGCGACGCGCATTTTACGGTTAAAAATGTCGGATATTCCCAAAGAAAGATCCTTTGCAAGATTTCCAACCACAGAACCCCGTTTTAGTTCTTCTGGTATGCTGTAACGAGTCTGTCCGTTTACTGTAATCAGCAAAAGAAAGAAATGATACCACCAAAGCCATTTCCAGTCACGGTATCTCATTCTCTTTGTCATCCCCGGTTTCTTCCCGGTCCTTTATAAAGTTATATTTCCCATAGATGTATCCATCCACGCTATCCAGACCTAGTAGTGACCACGGAAACGTATAATAATACAAATATAGTCTAATACTGACTTATAAAATACATGATTAAAACGTCATCTAACAGACAAGCGCATCTCCTCTTCGGCTCTGAGCATAGGGAGAGCCACTGTGACTAGAGCGAGTGGGGGAAGGACAAGATCTCTTTGTAAAATACTGTGAGCTATTGGTTCATTCTAGCCACCTATCAGACCAGCCCCAATAAGCTGAGAATGCAGTAATCCTTTCTCGACAATAACAGAAAATGTGAGCACTTGTGACACCATATAAAATTAATACAATTAAATACAAAAAAAAAAATCAATTCATAAAAATGGCATGTAGATTTAAAATGCCAGCTTCATTTTATGCATT